GGATCAAATGGGGAAACAAGTCACATAGCAAGCGGGCATGAATACAGAACAGGGGCTTTTCCTGTAAGGGGTTGAGTCAATGACTCTTCAAGGTGATCGCTACCTATTTAGCATATCAATCTGTGATGTCCATCCCTAGGGAGGTAAGTGGGTGTGCTTGTTTAATCTTTAGTCTTGAGATCTGGCCCGAAGCAAGGACCACCTCTCCATTTGTAAGGTATCTTGTCTTCCATACTGGCTCCTTGGAGGGCCTGGCCCTGTCTGACTGCTTATATTTCTTACTCAGCTGCCTATAACATTCCCCTCTCTAAAGAAGTAATCCGAACTGCAGCTGAGTTAGATAGAAATATTATAGCCAGTCAGACAGGGCCAGGCCCTGGAAGGAGCCAACAGGAAAGACAAAATAAGATCTGCTGTAGGCCAGACCTCAAGACAGAAGATTAAACAAGCACACCCACTTACCTCTCAAGGGATGGACATCAGGGATTGATATGCTAAATAGGTAGCTATCACCTTGAAGAGACCCTGACCCCAACCCCTTACAGGAAAAGCCCCTGTTCTGTATTTATCCCCGCTTGCAATGTGACTCGCTTCCCCATTTGGTCCCAATTTAATCAATTTTACCTGAACAATTCTTACTGGCTGACCATAGTTTTGTCCATTTTCCCCTACCTTGGACCCACCCCATCTCGTGGTTTTGCTCTATAAAAGTCCCTAAAAAAGACAGAGTATGGGGCAACCCCCTCAGGTTCCCTTCTTTCCCTCTCTTGGACAGAAGCCTTCTTTCCCTCAATAAGTATATTCTGCTCTCAATCTCCGTTGTTCCTAAAATTCATTCTAAGATTTTAGAGAACATGAACTTCTAGATATCGTTAAGGTTGAAAGTTTTTTTCCTGTATCAGTAGGACAAAAGCCAGGGAAGACCCACTTTTAGACTTAGCCAAGTTTGGGGCCAGTGAACTCCAGTGCAAATGGGTGTGGGGTGGGGGTGGGTTTTAGCGGGTGGGGTTGGGTTGTGGTGGTGAGATGGTTTACACTTTGAGCAGGAACCTTGGAGAAACTGTTCCCCTTTTAAAAATTCCTAGCCAGGCATGGTGGCGCACTCCTGTAATACAGTACTCAGGAGGCTGAGGCAGGAGGAGGATCGTTGAGAGTTCGAGACCAGCCTGGACTACAAAGTGAGCTAAAGACCAGCCTGAACTGCATAGCGAGACCCTGTCTCAAAAAGACAAATGGGAAGCCGGGCATGGTGGTGCACACCTCTAATCCCAGCACTCGGGAGGCTGAGGCAGGAGAACCATTGCAAGTTGGAGACCAGCCTGGGCTACAAAGTGAGCTCAAGGCCAGCCTGAACTGCATAGTGAGACCCTGTCTCAAAAAAAAACGAAATATAAAAAAAATCAAAATCAAAATCAAAAAGGTCAATACATACATACTCCAAGTTTTTAAAGATCCGTTTAACCCTCTCAGTTACAGTGCTGTTGCAAACACTGTGTAACTAAGAGACCATAGGCTCAGAGAGGTTAAGAAATTATCTCCAGGTAGAAGTGAGCATTTGAGCTGGCTATGGTGGCTCATGCCTATAATCCTAACATTTGAGAGGCTGAGGCAGGAGGATTGCTGCAAGTTCCGGACAAGCCTGAACTGCATATCGAGATCCTGTCTCAAAAAAACAAAAAAAGAAAAAGTGAATATTTGAAGTCATAGGTCAGAGCCTGATCTGTCAAGAGTCTTGATAGGTTCTTGACCAAGTCCAGATACAAAGTGTCTGTTGAAGCTATCAAATTGAATAATTATGGAATGTTTCTGAGAACGTTGAGAAGTAACAAAAAAGTATGAGTCAAGGGCCCTGCCTTGAAAAGCTTACAAAGAGAAAGCAATGGGGCCACCTGTAGGTCTCACATAGGAATTAGGGCCTGGCAAAGCTGGCTGGGGAAGTAGTATGGCCGGTTAATTATAAGATCCCAGAATATATGCAGAAGAGTGCCGAAAGCCCGGCATGTGAACTCTCCTGAGAACTCAAGCGTGTTGTCAATCGGATGCCTGGACCTGACATCAGCCTGAGATGTGGGATCCCAGCAGCGCCTCTCAGGATCTGTAATGGGTTTCTTTGAGATTTGGTCTCAATAAAAGATGCAGACGCCAAGAAGAACTTTTGTGGCTTTTCTCACCGTAGCCCACCCTGCTTTCTCCTGAGTATTCTTTCATCTTGCTTTTTTTCTCTTTTACTCCCACTGGACCAAGCTTGCTCTGCAGAGCCAATTTCTCCCTCACTCTTCACATTTACTTTTTCAAACAAACTTTGCCA